GGGTCTACAGTGCCTAATATTATTGAGGCTAATATATTCTCTGACCCTGTGCATAAAAAGACAGGGGGCAGAAATAATATATCTAGCCAATCCACATACCTCAATCACATTTAATTTCACAAAATTCACTTCTGATAGGTATTGTTCCAACTAACAGACCATCTGGTGCTAATCTAAGATAGAGATGACTGAAGTGCTTCTGATTAGAGTATTTTAGGTGTTAAATCTCCATTCTAACATTGTGAATCCTTAACTAGAATACTCAAATATTAACTAGCTTCCTCTAAGATATAAATTAATATGTGTACCACATTCTATATGAATTATTTTAATTATACTACAGGCCATATACAAATTATATATAGGTTTAGTCTTCCTGAATATGTAAGTTGAGTCTGTGAAAGCAAAAATTAGGAGGAAATGAGAATACCTAGAATTCAGAATTCCTTTTCATTATGACAATACCCTATTTCTCATTGGGTAGCAAGTCCTATGAAGTGTGATTTTCCCCCAACAGCTAAAGAGCAGAAAAAAATGGATTTATTCTAGTTAGTGACTTGCTTTTTCTATTTTTACAAAAAAAAATGAAGTAAATTATTTTTCTTGGTGCTATTATTATTTTGTCAGGAAGACAGATCTTCCAAATTTTAGGAAACTGTGAATCGAAGTCCTATATTGCTCTCATTTCCTTTTTCTCTTTGTCTCTCTTCTGTTGTAGCCCTTCCTTCACCGCTAAGCCTTCACCCTGGCTCTACCCTGCCCCCACTGCCTTTTGTTCTTTAGAAGATGCTCATTAACATTTGCTAATGTATGCTAATGAGCTATAATTAGCATCTCTAATGTGAACAAAAGCAGTGCTACAAAGAAAGGGTAAAGATATGTACAGAGTTCAGCCAGCCTTTTATGCTTCTTTATGCCTTAGGAACAATCCTCTTCTTTCAGTTCTTTCACAATTCTTTAGTGTTTTTTGTTTGTTTCATTTTATTTGCTTATCCGTGAACCGTGACAACTATTCTTCATGAGTTGGAATATTGCAAAAATGCTATGGAGGACAGAAAGATTCCTTTTTGTCCTAAATAATTCAAGGATATAAGCATAGCTGCTAAGGGTAATATAATGCATATTTGTGTTTTCATCTGGTTGTTATTTTGGTATCCTATTACTAGAAAAGATTTTAACCACAAAAACACATATGATAATGTATTTCATTTTACCACACTTATTTACAGTGGTTGCCCTTTATGGTGGTAATTGCAATGTGAAAGCATACACTCTGAATATATATTATGACAGCATGGTTAAATAAGAAATGTTCCCTCCCTCAAATAATTTAAATGCAAAGAAAATCAAGACTCACCACTTACTTTTTCATAACCACAGAGGGCTCTAAATGTCTTTGTAAATAGCTATTTATTTATTGAATATGTATAGTTGTTTTTTTTTCTAAAAAGCCAACCCTCCAAACCACAGAGAGTAAGAGCTGTTTTTGTTCTTTCTGTAGACTGATGGTGTCATGAAATACCTAATTGCAGTTTCTCACAAATACTCCAGCATGTAATTTGCCATTTGCAGAATGAGGCTTCACATTTCATATTTGCTTTTCCAGCTCAGGGGTGGTAGAATTTGGAAACATACCAGCAACCCACTTCACTCAGACTGTGTTTAATTATAATTTCATGTACAATAAAAGCAGAAGGAAAATGTGCAAAAAAATGGGTGTACATCTTTTCCCCCTCCTTCTTATGCATGTAAAAAAGATTTATTTCCATTGTAAAAGGATAGAATGGGGATCTTTATTTAGAGTAGATTTTCTATTTTTGTTTTTTCTGTTTACCTCAGAGTTGGTGATCCTCTCTCTGTGACCTCAGAGTAAAATGTGTTCCTCCGTAGGCTTCATCCTGCTCCATTTGTCAACTACAACATTTTATATTGTGTTTTTAATAAAGCACTCTCAGTCCTGCTGTTGAGTCATCTGGTTAGTCACCTCAGTCCCTGGGAACCTTTGTCCCCTGGGACAGTATGCCTTCCAGTGATCCCATTGGCACAGTGGGCAAAGATGAGGTGGTGGTCCATTTCTCTGGGGACAATATCTTAAAAAGTGTCCTGTTAGATTACAATGGTAGCAAGCTTTGCCAGACTCAAGCCTTTCTCTCCTCTGTGCCCCTTGGGTCTGCTTGCCTGAAGGCCATGACTAGGGCTGCAGCTTTTCTCTGGTTTCTCCTCTTCCGTTCAGCCTATTCCTCCTTGTCTGTATTATAAAACACCAAGGTTGCTAGGTTTATTCATGATTCTAGGTTCTGTTCTGGCCCCAGGGCCAGCTTCTGGAGCTTCCTCCTAATGTCTGCTGCTGATTGCATAATAAATTTGTCTTTTAGTATTAACTGACCCTTGATTGAGTCTGGTGACAGAGGAGTATACTTTCTTAAGGCCTCCCATAACTGCTCAAGGAAGTCTGTTGGGTTTGCTTCCTTTCCTTATTATGGGGATAACATTGCATAATTCATGGGCTTTTCCCTAGTTTGCCTTAATCCCTCAAGTATACAGGTTAATAGGTGCCTATGACTCCAGTGCCCCTGTTCTGAGTCAGGATCCCAGTGAGGGTCCATGCTAGGGACTGCTGGTCTACCTGTAGGAAATCTATCCTTCTCTTCTGGAGTCATTTGGTCATGTACTTGACTAAGGTACCATGTATCCCCAAACTCCTGAGCCACTGCTAGAGTAGCCTCTCTCTCATTGCTGTTTAGGGTTTGACTAAGCAATAGCATGATATCTTTCCAATCTAATTCGAAGGACTGACCCAGTCCCTGTAGAACAGCTTGTACTTGTCCAGGTCATCTGAAAATTTTCCTCAGTCCTTCTTGATTTGCTTTAAGTCAGAAAGTGAAAAGGGAGTATGTATCTTGGTTGGACCAAATTCTCTTCCTACTGCCTGTAGGGGGCAGAGTTGGGGCCCCCTAGTAGCTTGAGGTACCTGGGCCACCTTGGCCTTCCCTAATTCCTCTTGGGTTATAGGAGCTGAGGAGACCTGGTCAGCTTCAGTGGAGGGAGGAGCTACAGGGAGTCCTAAATATGGGGGTAGTCCTGAGGAGGGGCCAGTAGGGTATGGGGTACAAGCCTTACATAGCTGAGGATTATTCCTCAGAGAGAAGAAAACTTGCACATAGGGGAACTCAAACCATTTACCTTCGCTCTTACAGAACAGGTCTAATTATACAATGGTGTTGTAATTTATACCTCCCTTAGGAGGCCAGGTTTCTCTACTTGGCAGAGGGTATCACGGCCACACTGTTCAGCAGAGAAAAATGAGCCATTTCTTCAAGGATCATGTGTTAAATTGGTCCCAGTTATCCAGGATACACTTTAAAGGAGATTTTTGCCTTGGGAAGAGTAGCGCACATTTGAAATCAAATACAGGAATGCCTGCATCCCTGGTTATTCCTTGCAACCATTAGGCCTGGGGGTCCCCCAGTTATAGTGCTAGCCCTGAGGAGTCCCCAGTTATAGCACCTTGTAATTTCCTTGGCCCAAGATGTGTGATCATCTTCTGGGGCCCCCCTATGTGCTGGGTTTAATCATGCTTACCAGCATCACGGGCACATGCTCAATATCTAAATGTCCTCATTGACCACCATAAGGACTGCCAGGATTCATAGTCCATACCAGTGCTTCCCTGAACTAAGCCAGTGAGGCTTGGGTGATGGGTACCAACATTTCCTAGCAAGAGTTCAATTAACATAGGCCTGATTATAAAACTGCCCTAGGAGGATAAACTCCTAGGGAAGGACCTCTAAGCGCAACAGTCCTAAGGAAGGCTGGATGGCCACATTGTCAAGACCAAAACAATGCCCTCAGGACCTGGACCTCCTCCCCTACCCCATTCTCTATTATAAGAATATGCCCTAGGGTTGTGGGCCCTGTAATTAACTATTTGAGCCTTGGACCAGGTTTGATTATGGTATTTTAGATGGAGAGGTTCTGCCATACGGAAGGCTGATCCTAAGCAAGACAAATTATACATCATTAGATTCTGGCACCATTTAGTTGGATTGGGAAATTTTCAGGTGACGAAAAACACAATGTTCTATAGCCCCTCAGTATCCACTGATAAGACTCTTAACTCCATTAGGATTTAACCTAGCACTGTGGACTAAGAGAGCTGGCTCTGTGCATTTATACTACAGGAGGTCCTCATAGGCATAAGCCAAAGGGTACTGCAGGTATGGGTCACTGGGCTGACGCTGCCCAGCGGGGGGCTAGTGCTGCCAGAGCCAAACCCTTGTGGTGCTGCTGTCTGCCATTGCCATGTGCCTGCAGTTAGGCCCCTCCCTGCAGCTCTGCCTTCTCCCAAAAACAGACTGTGGTTGGCTGCTCTCTCAATGCACTGGGAGTGGCTGGGCTCCCTTAAGTGTCCCCCAAGGGAAAAAAAATGGCATGCCCGGAGGTGGCAGGGGCCTGGCCTGCACCCAGACACTGGGAGGGCTTGCCTGGCTTGGCGCAATCTTGCTGGAGCTGGGCCGCCATGCCTACGCTGACTGGCTTGGGTTAGCTGGCTTGCTCTGCTCCTCATGAGTGGCTGCAGCGGGTGCCCTGGGGTGCTGCAGCATGCAGAGCCCTGGGCCTGGCCTGGCCATGCCCTTCTTCCTCATTTATGCCCTCCCACTCCACAGGCAACTTGGCCCAGAGAAACAAAGTACAGCCAGAAAATGAAGCTGGTATGGAGAAGGCCAGCGCTGTGCCTTTAAATGTGGCTGACCTGTGCTATTTAGAGGCTGGACTGGAGCCTTATCTGAGACCGTGCCTGCCCCGCCTAGCCATGGCTGTGTGGGGCCAGCAACTGTGGCTACCAAGCCCGGCTGTGACTGCAGCCTGTTATTTAAAAGTGGACCTTACAGCAGGCAGGCTCTCGTCCCATGTGCTCAGTTTATGACCAGGACTACCTGGCTTGCGAGCAAACAGCCTAGTGTTCTAATTAGTGGGCCTCCTGGGGGAAGCAAACCCCCATGGAGTGCCAGGCAGGCAGCCAGCCCTGGAGGAGGCTTGCTTGGACGCCTGTATCTTTAAGTTTGACCCTGCGCTATTCAAAAATTGAGTGGGGCCTACAAAGGACTGCAAGCCTCCGACCCAGCCCTGCTGGCACCCGCAGTTGCTGCTCCTGTGGCACCGGCCAGTTCCCGGGTGAGTATGGCCCTTTATGTGCCCAGCTGCCACTTCTGCGGGCTGGGGCAACCACTTCTGCTGTGCTCAGTCCCACTCGGGCCCAGTGATTTAAAAAGAAGCGAATAGGATAGATTTTAGCAAGTGAGAGTGGTCCGATACACTTAAACTGCTTCTAAGTCTTCTCCTGGCTGGCTCGCCAAAGGTATAACCAGGTCGGGGGACAGGACAGGGCTTAGCTACCCCCACCCCCCCACCGAATTTGATGTGCCTGAGGTTTTTAGGCTCCCTGGCCCCAGGAATTGGGGAGAGGCCCCAGAGGCACTGTGAGCTTACTGGTTAAGTAAATATCAGACACAAAGAGTTTTGCAGAGTGATTTATTGGGGGAGGGGGGAAGGGAGAGAGAGGTAGAGAGAGGCCCCATGCTGTTGTGGAAAGGGATCCCAGAGAGGGAAATCCGTGCAGGCAAGGTGCAGTGGAGTTTTAACTCTGAAGATATTCCTGCCCCATTCATGTTCTTGTCCAATGAGAGGAGTTCTTTCACACTTCCTCTGGAGTGATTGATCTTTGACTCTGATGCTGGATTGGCTGCTTGGTCTGCAATTAAAGCCTCCTCCCCCAGAGCTTTTGGCGGGCTTTCTAAACGACGCTCACCTGGAATTTTACCTAGCCTGTGCCTGGGAAAGTTAGACAAAGAACTCTTTAAGTTCTGGATTGGGGAGGTGGATGGAGGCATGGAGCTGGGAAGTTCCTGCCTTTGAAACCACGCCCCTTGTGGACTTGGGAAGAGAAGATAATATAGTCCCTCAGTACCACTGCACTCCAGCCTCGTGACAGAGAGAGACCCTATCTCAAAAAAAAAAACCAAAAAACAAACAAACAAAAAACACAAAAAGCTATTATTGTCTTTGTAGTTTTAAAACCACAGATATTGAAAATAACTATTTGGTATCTCCAAGATATTGTAATGTTTGAAAATATGACCAGTTTTGGGGGCATTTATTATACAAGTCTTCACTAGGGTGTTTTTGAATGTATGTACCCTCTGGTTTTCACAAAACTAGCCTTAAGGAAGATAAGATACTAGTACACACAGAAGAAATATCAGCTTTGGTCTGTCTCATTAAATCCTTTCCCCAGATACTTTGATGATATTTAAGTGTAATGATCTCATTTCTGTGTTTCTCACTTCTGATAATTTTTTAAATGTCTTCTAGCTTACAGGTTTATTAAAGTATTTGATTGTTATAAGAATTAAATAATTTTTCTCTTCATTCAATGGCTTCTGAAATGTTATGTTTAATACCAGCATTTGAAGAACTTGGGATTGTTATAAACAAATGGCATAAGCTTCTTTTTGTCCTGACCTAGAAGTAGCAAAAATAAAGGGAGCTGTGTAGTTAACCTGAGTGAGATGTAATAATCTTGGGTCTATTTTATTCTAGCGTAAGAATAATTGCATCCCATTATTTTTATTTTGTTTTGTGGAGAGTAACTTCAGTTCCCTACTTGACAACCACCAATAGTATTATCATAAATTCAGAGAGTTGCGCTGCGTTAGTCCATTCCTGCACTGCTAAAAAGAACTACCGGAGACCGGGTAACCTGTAAAGAAAGTAAGTTTAATTGACTCATGGTTCTGCAGGCTGTATAGAAAGCATGGCTGCTTTTTGCTATCCAGCCTCCTCGTGGAGGCCTCAGGAAACTTACAATCACTGCAGACGGCAAAGAGGAAGGAGGCACCTCCTACGTGGCCAGAGCAGGAAAAAGAGAGAGAAGGGGGAGGTGCTACATACTTTTAAACAACAAGATCTCATGAGAACTCACTATTCCAAGAACAGCAAAGGGAATGTCTGTGCCCATAATCCAGTCACCTCCCACCAGGCCCCTCCTGCAACAGTGGGGATTACAATTAGACATGAGATTCTGTCAGGGACACAAATTTGAACCGTATCAAGGGCCACTTTCTATGTGTTGATGATGCCTGAATATGATTCGGTGACTCAATCTAGCATCCAAGTGGCTCATTGTTCGGCAATTCTTGTTTAGTCTTCTTTAGAGCTAACTTTACTCAATTCTTTGAAATTTGGATTGATTTACTTCTTGTTTGGTTTTAAGAAAAGCAAAACATCTACATACTGTTCTTGGCATAGCTTATATAGTATACATGCATATTTATGTATAATTTTCTTCATATCAAAATATGCATCTCCACCATTTTTATCATTGCTATAATCAGAAATTAGTAATTTGAAGGTCTATCGAATGGCCTTATACCTAGAATTTTCAGAGTATAATATTACACACTGTGTATTCAAAAGAATGTTGCCTTTTAAAGAGGTTTTTTTTTTTTAAACCATAGCTTATTTTTATAGTTTCACTGGTCTGTCTTCCCTCTTCTCTCTTTTTTTCCCCCTGGAGAGGGGAGATTTTATGTTTTTGTTAAGAGGCTCATACTCTCCTTATAAAATATGACAAATTTCACTTTGGAATACAGCATATTAAAGAATTATTTTATTCACAATTTTCTAGCTTTTCACCTTCAAATTCTTGTTAAAGCAAAATATTAATAGTACAGAGAGGTGGTCTGATTTTAGTTAACCTGAGGTTACACATATAGTATATATATACATATATATAAAATATTTGTCATAGGTAGCAAAACAAAAATGCAAAATTTTACTTCATATTTATTCTTTTCCATTATCATTTACTGTAATTCTCACCCCATATTTACTCTTTTATTTCTTTTTCTCTCCTTCCTCCTCTCACTCCTTTTCATTCTCTTCTCCCTACCCCATTTTTTAGTTCCATACTTTTGAATTACTATTGTGGACTCCAATATAAGCAAGAGATATATTAGTAAGTTGTTCAGTCTTTTAACAAAGTATTAGTTGGAGAAGCACAGCCCAGGGACAAATCAAAAGCAGAAATAAAACTGAGGAATTAATAATCTAATTCATTGTTGTTTGCATAACATTACAGGAGATTCATTTTATAGGCTACATCATCAGTTTCTCAATTCTCATTAGATCTTTTTTATCAGCATATAAGAACATTCCAGCTAGCAAAAATAGCTGTATCCCTTCACTACCCATCAGCTCATGAAGCCACTTAATTCAGCTTTATGCCACACGACTACACTAAATCTGTGACTGCTGAGATCATCATTGTCTCGACATTGTCAAATCCAGTGGTCAATTTTCAGTCTTCATTGTACTTTACTCGGCAACTTACCATACATCTCTGATGCACATCTTTTGTCTTCCACAGTCTCTGACTTTCCTTCGGCTTAAGAGCTGATTGTTCATTTTTAATCTCTTCAGTTCTTTTTTTTCCCATTCCTCACCATTTTGAGACTCCTTTTTCTGTTTTGTTGACACAAATTTTCTTTGTGTTCTCATCTGTTCTTACAACTTTAAATACTCTCTATGTGCTGCTAATTCCCTGAGTCATACTTCCAGTCCAAGCCTTTCTTTTGAACTCCAGGCTCAAATACTCAACTGCCTACTTAATGTCGTGCTTGGATGTCTAGAAGGCACCTGAAATCCAATGGGTCTGATTAAACTCCTGATCTTTAAAAGTGCCTAACTAAGCTATTCTCCCTATAGTCTTCCATCTTCTTTTCCTGCAATTCCATTCTTCAGGTGCTTAAGCAAAGAACCTGTGGTTATTCTTATTTTTCTATTTCTCCCACATCCCACATTACACCCTACAGGGGTGACATGGGTTCATTTGTGCCTGTCATGCCACTGATTAACAATATCCCTGTCAAGAAAGTTTTGTTTGTGGTAATAGACATCCAATTTGTATGAGAAGAGTCAATGTTGATGTTCCTCATACAGAAAAAAAAATCCTGTGAAGAAACACAAAAGAGCTAGATAATGCATTGCTGTTAAGTAGACTACATAAGATATCCATACCTAATCTCAAACCTTATTGTTTTAAAGTCATTCTTATTTTATTTTATTTTTTTGAGAGGGAGTCTCACTCTGTGGCCCAGGCTGGAGTACAGTGGCACAATCTTGGCTCACTGCAACCTCTTCCTCCTGGGTTCAAGCGATTCTCCTGCCTCAGCTTCCTGAGTAGCTGGCGTTACAGGCGTACACCACCATGCCCAGCTAATTTTTTTGTATTTTTAGTAGAGATAGGATTTCACCATGTTAGTCAAGCTGGTCTTGAACTCCTGACCTCAAGTGATCCACCCACCTTGGCCTCCCAAAGTGCTGGGATTACAGGCATGAGCCACTATGCCGGGCCTATAAAATCATTCTTTTGCATCAAATAGTAAGACTCATTAAAGGCAGCGGTATTTTCTTTTACTGTCTTCAAACTCCTATCCAAGAGCATTTTCTATTCCTTTGTGAGTGCACAATAAATGGTAATTCAATAAGTGAATTTTCAGTTTCTCAAACAATAACCTGGAGCTACAAACATTGCTTCAAGAGGTAAATGTGGATTAGAGAAAAAGGCAATACCATTAAACTCTTCTGGCCACCTGGTCACTGTGTTATCCTAAGGAAGCATAAACTACTTTCAGCATTATAGATTAAAAAAGAAAGCCCAGAACAACATCCACTTGTCTGAACGACTCCTATGCCTCTGAAATGTGACATTTTGCTGTTGTTTCCTTTTACTGTTTTTAATTACCAAGTCTATCTGCATGAAATGAGGATCTGGGTTGCCTAGGAGTTCATCTGCTCCTATTGCATATTCCTCTTTTAACTACACATACTTCAATGCAGTTTTGCTTGCTGCCTCCAACATTTTGACAGACTTCCCCTCCTCTTCTTTCACTGTCCCCCCATCACTCCCCAGGAGAGAAGGTTATTTTTAAAGTGCATGATCAATAGGTATTGGGGAGCAGCCATGGCATGAGGAGATCATATGATTGGGGGTAAGGTACTAGGGATTGCTGAGAGAAGTGATGGCAACAGGACTTCCCAAAGATTGTCTGAGAAAGGAAATAGTTTGTAGCTCCTATTCAAGTGTTCCTAGTTATCTCTTTGCACAGGTTTTTATCTTGGAGGGAGTTTTTAATGTGATCCTTCAGCATTGCTTTAAGTTGCAGGCAATGTAAGCCAGTGCTGATAGTTACTTTTCAGGCTGAATAATGTTCAATTAAAATCAAGCTTGGTCTAAGGATCTTGATAGTGTCTTAAATCTCCTGGTCAGAGTGCTGCTATTTAGTTCTTGATGCTGATGACACCTTTGCTGAGGGTTTCACTCAAGAAAAGAACAGTATTATCACAATGACTACAAAAAAATGACTGTTCCATTATCAGACAAAGGAATGCTGTTAAGCAAAGAAACCACCTAATGAGAATGTGGACACGATCATGCACAGACCAGAATCACTGTTGGAAAACCAACTCAAGAGGAGGGAATTGGTCATTTCTGCAGCATTCTTCTTTGCATCACTGAGAAGTCATAGCTCTGTTTTGTTCTTTACTTGCCACCACAGGGAATATCTTCCCTTATGATTTTTAGTTTTTATTCAATGGTTGTTTATAACTATTCTTTCTGTGCCAGAGATGAGTCATGTCTCTAGCACTGCTGTTTCTCCCCCTTGGTTATTGGCGAAAACTGAGTCGTTGCTTATCTCCTTAGCTTGGGATACCTTATTCCGCTGTTTTTATTTAATATATGATCCTTCCTAAAGATTTGCTTTTATTTTTATTCATTTAGTAGTTTTCCTATTTTATTTAATTAACTTTATATAATCACATTCTGGTGAAATAATCATTACAAATCAGCCTAATACATTGTACAAATGCTTTGAAAATTTGCTTTGGCTATGCATATTGCAAAGTAGACTGTGGGTCAGCATTTGCTATTTGTCCTCAGCTGTTTCTTCTTTATATATAACTGATAAGACCCTGCTCCAATGCTAATCTTATATCATTAAAATTCTTTCCTAGGGAATCTTTCTTTGACTGAAGAAGCTTACTGGTGATATTAATTGCAAATAAAAGACCATGACCTACTGTGGAATGTAGAATATCTCCTTAGACGTATCTGCCTTCATTATTGCAAACTCTCAGTAGTGACATAAAGATCTTTGTCCTGTGTAGATTCAGTTGTAGCCAGCAGCAGAAGGCATATGTTCACTTTGAACAAAAGAACATTTATTTTCACATTCTGTGGCTGATGTTGAGTGATAACATTTTTGCATATCCTAAAATTTTTTACACAGATGCTGTTTAAAGCAAAAAGTGCTTTTACAATAATTTTCTTTGTGAATGGAATTTACACTCTTGGCATGTGTTGCCTTTTCAATATGCCTGTCAAGTTCTGAATAATAACCTTTGACAGTGAGTGAACAGAAACAAAACCAGAGGTGGTTTCATCTGTTCACAGCAACATTGTTTGTCATCTTTGCTTTTTTGGACAAATGCCATTCCATCTTAAATAAAAATATTATAAAATTCATGTTTCATAAGTAAGTTAATAGACTTTGATTTTTAAGAAATATTCTAATTTTTCCAAGGCAAGAAACCTGTGATGAAAGGACATTAAGTTAAGAGAAAAAACATGCCAATAAATATATTTTTTCATATTACTATAGCATTAAAAATTTTATAAAAGCTTTATATGTCTTTATAAACTGGAAGCAAAACCATAAACAAGCTCTTTTTTGTTCTATACTTCTGTTACAAAGTATGGACAGGAGTGTAGAAATATGATTGGACAAAAAGAGTATGGGGTGAGAAACAGAGAAAGTGTTCTTTGTCTTGGAAAGAACTGTAAAATTACCTATCTCCGCATTGCCACGGGGAGTTACATATTGGGAAATTTAGGCTTTATTAATATAACACCTATAAAAATAATTGAAATTAAAAAGATCTGGCTTTAAGCATTTTTCTAAAGACTTTTTCATGCTTGGTAAAAGTGGTTGGAATAGATTATTCTCTATTTTTAAGTAGTTAATTTGGTTATTAACCTAATTGGCTTGGGCATGTGGATATAGCTTTATTAACAATTCAATTTCTCATGAAATAAAATAACCCAACAAACCCCAAGTTCAACTATTGAAATACAGAATTTATTTCAGTTGAAGTTATTTTGAATTGAGCTGATAACTTATAATTTTGAATGGGGCTTTGCAAATCCCTGAAGATAATGAGATAGAAAAATCTTTATATGGCATTCTATAAGATGCTGTAGCTGTATAACTTTAATAAATCATACTCATTTTGACAAGTTTATGGAAAATTTTTACTGACTGCACAGAAACATTATGATAAAAACAATAAAAGTAAAAACCACTTGCTAACAATTATACAGGCATTTAAATAATTGCTGTACTCTTTTCTTTCCTCAACAGTACAAATCAAAGTGGAGGAAAAAGAAGACGATACTGAGGAAAGCTCAAGTAAGTGATGATGGGCCCACCTGGGATATGTTTCCTATGGAATACCAGTGAATTCAAGGGATTTATCCTCTTATCTTGTAGCCTTGAGCTAGCACATATAAGCAGAAGTGTGTGTGGATAATTTTTCATGGTCTCACAGGAGGAATCAAGTTCAGCGAGCAGAATCCCCACTCTAGATTCTATTCAATTGGCATTTTAAGGGCCAACACCTTTGTCTCTTGAATGTTTGCTGAAAAATCAACAAGCAAAAGGCATATTAATAGAATAAAAGGCATATAAATTTATAGAACATGTATTCATTAAACCCTTAGGATGAAGACCCAAAGATAGAAAAATTTGTTTATTTTTATCCTTAGGTTCAACAAAGTATGGACAGCAGTATAGAAATATGATTGGACAAAAGGAGTATAATCTAATATTTACATTCTGAATGGAGAAATGCCACAAGGCTGTCTGCATAGATTCTTCTTGGCCTCTTTAAGCATGCATTTCTTTCTTCTGGGTATGGGGCAGGACCCTCTTTGGAACGAGGGTCTTATGATTTACACTCATGGTAGGCCAGATGATTTCATTATGACCAGTTTTTACACAGACAGGGCAGAGAGAATGTTAGAGTAATATTTTATGCGTTTGAGAAGAATGTTCATTCTGCTGCTACTGGGTAGAATGTTCTGTGTATGTCTGCTAAGTCCATTTGATCTATAATGTTATTCATGTCTGCTATTTCCTTATTGATTTTCAGTTAGATGCTCTATCCATTATGGAATGTAGAGTATTGAAGTGTCCTCCTATAATTATATTGCTCTGTATTTTCTCTCTTTAGTTTGGTTAGTTTATAAATTTAGATGTTCTGATGTTGAATGCATATATACTTATGATTGTGATATCTTCCTGGTAAATTGACCCTTTTATTACTATATAATGTCCTTATTTGTTGCTTATGACAGTTTATACTACAAGTATATTTTGTCTGATATAACTAAAGCCACTCCTGTTATTTTTTAGCTACCATTGGCATGGCATTATCATTTTCCATCCCTTCACTTTTAGCCTATGTGTGTCCTTAAATCTAAAGTGAGTCTTTTGTAGTTAGAATATAGTTAGACCTTGTTTTTTAAACTTTGTTTTTTAATCCATTTAGCCACTTTATGCCTTTTGATTGGGAAGTTCAATCCACTTAAATTTAAAGTTATTATTGATAGAGCAAGACTTACTTTTGCCATTTTGTTCATTGTTTTTTGTCTTAAAACTCTTTTGTCCCTTTTTTATATTGTGCTATTCTCTGTTTTATTGATTTTTATTATAGTGATATACTTTGATTCATTTCTCTTTTTCTTTGTGTATCTTTTGGATAAATTTTATTGTGGTTACCATGGGACTTATGTTCAACATTTCATAATTATAAAAGTCCTATATTAAGCAGAAAACAATTTAAACTCAATTGCATACTACAACTACACTTTTACTTTCCCTGACACTTAATGTTATTGATCTCTTGATTTGCATATTTTTATATTATGCATTCATTAACATATTTTATAGTTACTTTGAATACTTATTTTACTTTTATAATAAAATTAAAAGTTATCTATATACTGTCATTAAAGTATTATAGTATCCTGTATTTGTCTATATATTTATTTTACCAGAGAGTTTTATATTTTCATGTAATTTTGTCTTGCTGTTTAGTGTCCTCTCATTTCAACATAAAGAACTTCCTTTAGCATTACTTGTAAGAAAAGTCTAGGGGTAATTAACTTAGGTTTTGTTTGTCTGAGAGTCTTTATTTCTCCCTCATTTATAAAGTACAGATTTGCTGAGTATAGTATTCTTGGTTGACAGGTTTTTTTTTCTTTTCAGCACTTTGAAAATATCATCCCACTTTGTTCTGGCCTGCATAGTTTCTGCTAAGAAATCACCTATAGTTTTATGAAGGTTTCCTTGTACACAACAAGTTGACTTCCTGTTTTTTTCAAAATTCTGTCTTGTCTTCAACTTCTGACAATTTAAGTATAATATGTCTTTGTGTAGATTTATTTGGATTTATATAATTTAGGGTCTATGGGCTTTCTGAATCTGGAGGTCCATTTCCTTCCCCAGATTTGGGAAGATTTTGGCTATCAATTTCTTTCAATAGTTTTGCTGTCCTTTTCTTTCTTTTATTCTCCTTCAGAACTCTCATAGTATATATACGATATATATATATATATATATATATATATATATATATATATACACACATATATATATATATATATGAGTATATATATACTCTCATAGTATATATATAGTCTGCTTGTTGATCCCTCATAAAACTTTCTACAGTCTTTCTTATTTTTTTTATGCTTTTGCTCTTCTAACTGTATAATTTCAAATACCCTATTTTTCAGTTTGGTAATTCTTTCTTCTGCTTGATCTAGTGTGCTGTTGGGCCTCTGTAGTGAATTTTACTTATTGTATTCTTCAGTTATTGTGTTCAGTTATTTTCTAATACTCTTCAATATTTATCTTTGGTTATTTTTATATTTTTGTTTCTATGTTTAAATTCTTACTTTGTTCATGCATCTTTTTTCTGACTTTGTTGAGCATCTTTATGAGTTATTTTTAATAGTCTGTTAAGTCAATTCATATATCTCCGTCATATTAGGGCTAGTTTCTGGAGCTTTATCTTTTTCTCTAGTTGGGGCATGTTTTCCTGTTTCTTTATTTTTCTTGATTGTGTGTGTGTGTGTGTGTTTGTGTGTTGGTACCTGTATATTAGAAAAAAACAGATTCTTTTCCTAGTCTTCAGGATAAGGACAAGATTTATATAGGAGAAGACTTTGACCAGTGAGGCAGGCCAGAGATTCTTGGGCCTCTCAAACATTTCCTATGTATGCATCCTCTCTGGACTTGTGTGTGTAAATTCTCAATAAGAGGGATTTTCAGTTGATCTTTTTCTTTTTAAGAATTCATAATCTTTTCTTCCCTCCAGTGTCCTGTCCTTCTGTCATAACATGTGTCTTCTGGGGAAGCAGCATGTCCTGAATTCTTTTTTTGTTTGTTTGTTTCCAATGGCCCCCAGGCATCAACAGTATGCTGGGTCCTGTCCATGCTCTGAGATTGGCCATTCCCTTAGGCAGCCTCCTGAAAAGTCTGCACATTGAATATATATTTCAGTCTTTTTTGTCCCATTTCAGGGTAAGTCAAGGGCTGGCATTCTTGCCAGTTATGTCACACTGAACTGGGGTAAGGGGCTTTGATGAATGAGTACAAACTAGTTCAAAACTTCACTTTTGTTCTCCATGACCCTGGGCCATCTAGAGCTGGGTCCTGTTAGTGTTCTAGGAGATAAGTGGGACATTAACCAGTTCTTCATTCATCCTTTCCAGAAGTTGGAGTGTTGGATGCCCTACCCAACTCTTGTCCTCCCCAGACAGAGGTGCAGATTTGGTGTTTATCATCTGGTCACTCTAAGTTGTGGGAGGGGCTATTGTGAGTGCTGGCATACTATTAAAATGGCTATCTTTGCTTTCATTGGTTCCCAGCCAGAGGTCTTTTCCGGTCAGTACTCAGATTCTGGCAAGACAGAAACCAGTCCCTTGGGAAGCCCCAGAAAAAACAGAATATTGGACACATGGTTCAGTTGTTTTCTCCCTTCCCCAGGGAGAAACTGGGAGATGGTAGTTTCTGCCCAACTGTATGGTGCTGTGTTAGTGAATCACTTGAGGCCAGGAGTTCAAGACCAGCCTGGCCAACATGGTGAAACCCTTTCTCTACTAAAAATACAAAAAATTAGCTGGTGTGGTGGCGCATGCCTGTAATCCTACCTACTCAGGAGACTGAGACAGGAGAATCATTTGAACCCTGGAGGTGGAGGTTGCAGTGAGCTGAGATTGTGCTATTGTGCTACAGCCTGATTGCACTCCAGGCTGGAGTGACAGAGCAAAACTGTGTCTCAAAAAAAAAAGTTATTCTGTTTCTCTTTCTGCCACCTGACATTTAGTAATATAGGTAATATTTAGATCTTAAACCTGAAATATCAATAAACAAGTTTTAACAAGTGGTAATTAAAGATAATTTTGAAAATACAAAATGATTGCTCACACATATGTGAAAAGAACATATTTAACTAATAAAAAAATTTTGAGATACTATAATCAGTTCAAAGGAAAGTCCAAAGCATAGGTACATTAATAGATAATAAATATTGAAATGATTATACAAATGAAGGCAAAGTTGTTTTTTGAAAGGGGTCTTGTCTCTCCATTGGAAAGAGTTTATTTGGATGTCTACAGATAAGAAGTGTTTTGTATTGCTATATGGCTATGTATAATTTTCATCGTTGTCATGTAGTTTCCATAAAATCAGAATCAGGTAACACAGAAAGGTATGCTACAGATAATTCATAGTTTTCCATTGAAGCATAATTTTTTTTTCCTATGGTAGCCTCTTTTTAAGAGGATAATGATAACTGTAATATTTATTTTTTTACAATAGTTTATGCTAAATGTTAGAAGAAATTAGGAGCAATAGAAATGAAGCTGAAGTAGTAATGTTATGTTACAAACTTTGTGAAGGAAAGTTTATCTTTTATCTTAATTATCTCTCTATTCTTTGCCTGGAAGGATCCTAAAAAGTTACAAAAATATGAGGAATTGATTGTTAGTTGCTGATTAAACAAAATAATGCTGTCATATTCTCAATTTTACATCAAATGTATATTTATAAATTACCTATTTCTATTCATAAGAAATAAATGACCAAGCAAGTGTGCTTAGTACTTTTTTTTAAGGGAAAGAAAACAAATATTTAGAAAAAAGGAGAAAAATATTTAGAATCAAGAATGAAGAAAATTTAAATGGCGAGGAAACTTCAGGGCTGAATGAGTTTCTCCAAAATTATTCTAGTTTGTAGCATCTTTTTAACATTTCTCTTCTTTGTGCTAAGATAGAAGTAGTAGTAAATATGAAGTGGTTAATCACTCAACAATTATGTAATGGAATGGTAATCTCTAAACTTGGACTTATTTGAAAAGTCTTAGAGGTTATGGTATGATATTAATCACCAAACTATTTAGTTACTCAAGTAAATGAAGACTAGAACTTCTTCAAAAACATGCTAAAATTTGGGAATCCACATTCATGTATCTGAGTCAATGAATCACAATGGAAATGGAAATCTAGATACATTTATTTAAATGATGGACTATGAAATATGTATGCCATGATGTACCTTATCATGATGTGGAGAATTGCTAGATTGTGCCGTCAGATGTGTAACAGTAGTTATTAAAAACTAAGAATAAACTTGCTAGTAGGAGGAAGCGTTTTCTGACATTGCTCACTGAATCAACCTCTCTGTTTAGGTGAAGAGGAGGAAGATAAACTACCTCGAAGAGAGAGCTTGAGACCAAAGAGGAAACGGACCAGAGATGTTATCAATGAGGATGACCCAGAACCTGAACCAGAGGATGAAGAAACAAGGAAGGCAAGAGAAAAAGAGAGGAGGAGGAGGCTAAAGAGAGGAGCGTAAGTTCTGATATTCTTCCAAAAGCTCCAATGCTGAAAAAGATCACTCCTTTTAGACACTCTTTGACCTTAAAATTGGTAATTAAAACTATTTTAGAAAGACAGCCTTAATCTGATGATACTTTTTATTCTACTTAAGTAAATGTATTTTAATAGTTAAAATAGAATTTAAAAATGAATATATATTTAAAATGGACCATGAGAAATTCCCTTTTGAAGGATCTAAATTATCATAGGTCATTGACATATTACAGTTAATTTAAAGATTTAAAAATTATCCCACTACTTATATGTATTGTTATCTAGGTTAAGTAGAAACTTCTAAATAGTGAGCACATACCATTTTTTCTTTCAGAGCAGGGTTTGGCAAATTATGGCTAAATCCAGCCCAAGAGCTAAGAATGGTTTTTACAGCTTTAAAGGGCTATTAACAAAAAGCAAAGATGAATATGGGACAGAGTTGTATATGGCACTCAAAGCCTAAAATATTAACCATTTGGCCCTTTACAGAAAGAAAGTGTGGTAGCCCCTGTTACAGAGGATTTGGGTTGTCATTTTCTTTTTAGTACAACTCAATATCTTTCAGTTCCACTGGAAAACATTTTACTGAATGCTGACTTTGTGCAGAATAATATATTTTTCCTAACCATGAACATGGAATGTTTCTCCATCTGTTTGTGTCCTCTCTTATTTCCTTGAGCAATGGCTTGTAGTTCTCCTTGAAGAGGTCCTTTACGTTCCTTGTTAGTTGTATTCCTAGGTACTTAATTCTCTTTGTAGCAATTGTGAATGGCAGTTCGTTCTTGATTTGGCTCTCTTTAAGTCTGTTATTGGTGTATAGGAATGCTTGTGATTTTTGCACATTGATTTTGTATCCTGAGACTTTGCTGAAGTTGCTTATCAGTTTCAGGAGATTTTGGGCTGAGACAATGGGGTCTTCTAGATATACAATCATGTCATCAGCAAAGAGAGACAATTTGACTTCCTCCTTTCCTATTTGAATACCCTTTATTTCTTTTTCTTATTTCTGATTGCTCTGGCTAGAACTTCTAGTACTATATTGAATAGGAGTGGTGAGAGAGGGCATCCTTGTCTAGTGCCAGATTTCAAATAGAATGCTTCCAGTTTTTGCCCATTCAGTATGATATTGGCTGTTGGTTTGTCGTAAATAGCTTTTATTATTTTGAGATACATTCCATCAATACCTTGTTTATTGAGGGTTTTTAGCATAAAGGGCTGTTGAATTTTGTCAAACGCCTTCTCTGTATCAATTGAGATAATCATGTGGTTTTTGTCTTTGGTTCTGTTTATGTGGTGAATTATGTTTATAGACTTGCGTATGTTGAACCAGCCTTGCATCCCCGGGATGAAGCCTACTTGATCATGGTGGATAAGCTTTTTGATGTGCTATTGCAATCAGTTTGCCGGTATTTTATTGAAGATTTTTGCATCTGTGATCATCATGGATATTGGCCTGAAGTTTTCTTTTCTTGTTGAATCTCTGCCGGATTTTGGTATCAGGATGTTTGTCTCATAAAATGATTTGGGAAGGATTCCCTCTTTTTGGATTATTTGGAATAGTTTCAGAAGGAATGGTACCAGCTCTTCTTTGTATGTCTGGTAGAATTCAGCTGTGAACCCATCTGGACCTGGGCTTTTTTTGGGTGGAAGACTCTTAATTGCTGCCTCAACTTCAGACCTTGTTATTGGTCTATTCAGAAAAAATGCTCATCATCACTGGTCATTAGAGAAATGCAAATCAAAACTACATTGAGATACCATCTCACGCCAGTTAGAATGGCGATCATTAAAAAATCTGGAGACAACAGATGCTGGAGAGGATGTAGAGAAATAGGAACACTCTTACACTGTTGGTGGGAGCGTAAAGTAGTTCAACCATTGTGGAAGACAGTGTGGCGATTCCTTAAGGACCTAAAAATAGAAATTCCATTTGACCCAGCAATCCCATTACTAGGTATATATCCAAGGATTATAAATCGTTCTACTATAAGGACACATGCACACAAATATTCATTGCAGCCCTGTTTACAAATAGCAAAGACTTGGAACCAACCCAAATGCCCATCGATGGTAGACTGGATATGTGGCACATAGACACCATGGAATATTATGCAGCCATCAAAAACGATGAGTTCGTGTCCTTTGTAGGGAGATGGATGAACCTGGAAACCATCATTCTCAGCAAACTGACATAAGAGCGGAAAATCAAACACTGCATGTTCTCACACATAGGCAGGTGTTGAACAATGAGAACACATGGACATGGGGAGGGGAGCACTACACACTGGGGGGAAGTGGGGGAGGGACAGGGGAGTGGGGAGGTGGGGAGAGATAGTATGGGGAGAAATGCCAGATATAGGTGAAGGGGAGGAAGGCAGCAAATTACACTGCCATGTGTGTACCTATGCAACAATCTTGCGTGTTCTTCACATGTACCCCAAAACCTAAAATGCAATTTTAAAAAATTGTATGAAAAATTTGTTAAGTAGAGAAGCTTAGTATTAACATACAACAGCTTCTTTTAGATAAGAATAACCCCATCTACTTCATGTCTTAGTTTTCCTTCTTCTCTTCCCCAGCTTCCCCTTTCTCTCTTTTGCATACCAAGACAAAATTTTATTTTAAATTTTGACTCTAGTATTTTTAATTTATATCTGCTTTTAAAGTATCTTCATGCTCTATTCCTTTCAAAAATAAAATGCAACACAATGTTACTGTGATTGTTAGTTCCATTATTATATAGTAACAGTTCCTATTTAGCAAAGCTTATGCTTTCTGACAGTGGTATTTCACTGAGAAAATATCACCAATTGATGTATTCATGATATAGGTTGTGTTCCAAAATTTGCTTTTCCTACTTATGCTTCAAAAAAAATCATTTTACAAAGATGAGTTGGGCAGGAATTCCTTTGCTCTCTTCACCTGCTGATGGCCCTCATGGCAGCTGCTCAACCTGTAGGAAATGGGGCCATGTGAAGCAACTGGATCTTGTGCCTGTGACAGTGTCTCTCCCTAGCTGGCCTTACGTTCATTCTGATCTTGAGAATCAAGATTCCTTATGTCCCACTCTTCCACATAACCAAACTGTCTCCATATGTTTTACAGATTGTATTTCTGCTGCTACAATTTGTGCATCTATTATAAATAGTATAAGAAATTAGTTGTGATTATTGATAGTTCTGTTCTCTATTTTAGAGTCTATTTTCTATTGTTCATTTTGAAGATAAACATCTTTTTTTAAAGAAAATCTTAGATAATATTTTTGAGAAAGATTGGTAGGCAAATCAGGGCACATTTATTTAGGTTAATTAATTCAGGGTCTTTTTTATTTAAATATTTAAATAATGCCTCAGGGAATTTCCCTTGCATTGACACAACATTTAAAACCAACTAAAACCAAGGTTGTAATGCTAACTATCTTTGGAGGCAGTTAAAAAAACAGTGCCTTGTTAGACATTTTGGAGTATTTCCAGTAATATTACAGGCTTTTCCTGACCCAGTTTTAAGAGAATAAGTAATATATTCATTGCAGTGAGAAATTCAGCATATTATGCCTTCTTCTTCCTAACAACTGTTGTTTAAATATATCATACTTAAGATAGAAAGCCATTCTTGCACAGATTAGCTTGAAAATTTAGATGAAGCATGCCTATGGCTTTTAATATGATTAGTCCTTTCTTGAGTTATTCTAGAAAAGCAGGTTTCCTGTAATGCTGTTTAGAAAAGTATTTTAATTACTTTCATATTTGAGGGTAACTTATGTCTCGACAACTGTGCCCTGTAACACAGCATGATCCTCCTGGTGAAATAAACAATTAACAACAGAGACTTAAAAAATATACCAGTCTGGGATCATTTAGTATAGGAATAAATGTCTTTCCATACCATAATAATCTCAGAGGTCATTGTTATATTTTAGTGTACTCTGAGCACTGGGTTATGATGATAACCCTGAACTCTCCAGAAAAGTTTTGTTTATTCAATAAGTACTTATTCACATGTGTTTATTCAATAAGTATTTATCTTCCTTTACTTTTGTGCAACCTAAGTTGCTAACATCTTTGGGATACTTGGATATGAACATGTAATTGCCTGCAATCTTGCATTTTCAAAAGTCTGTAATATAGAGAGGCCACTTAGATACAAATCATTATGACATAAGACAGTATATGTGTCCCAGAGTAGCGTGGAGTCTCAGAGAAGAGAAAACTGTTCTCAAAGGGATAATTACAGAAGGGATTAATTACTAAAGACAATTCATATGATTTTTAAAGGACTTAGAATTTGGACAGGCTGAACTTATAAACTGTTTAATTAGGGTTAGAATGGTTTCCATTAAAGGATTTCTGAAAGTTAGCATATAGGTTTAGTTACCTGGCAAATCCACACATCATAGAGATCATTTTTTCATTCTTTGATGATGCTGGATTAGAGATGTGGTTTTACATGTGATTCTTAATGGAAGTTCAGTAGTGTAAAGCTTTAAGGTAATTGCACATAAATATTATGAATTATTTTGAAACAATTGACAAGTTAAAGGCTTAACATATCAAGCAATTAAATCATTAATCTTAAAGGTTTTTTTTTCTAATTGACTTTATTACTGATAATTTCTTGGCATCTATTTTATTTTATTGAAGTTTCTAAAAATATTTCATTAAAACTGTTATCTATGTAGTTTCGAGTTATTTCTATGTTTGCATGGAAACAATTGTAATCATTTTTTATTAAAGCACATCTTTACCTCCTAAGACAAACTAACCCACATATCATTCTAATTGCCAAATTAAAAAAAAACTGGATATAGATGCAGTAAAAAAATCCTGAAATATTTTATGCCATGACTGCACAGCATCATAGGCTTCTATATGATAAACACCAATTAATTAAAATAGAAACAATCATCATTGTATCTTAGAAGAGTGTACTTCCCTAGTTCTCTTATACCATGATGATTATTCTAAGCAAAATATTTGAATTGTCCCTAAAACAAACTGTGGACAGGAAGTGTTATTTTAAATGGTTAATATGAATTTTTGTTTTGGTAATCACAGCATGATTAAAAACTATAGATTGGTGGCAAAGAAAGGAGATTGAAAGTCATTTTGTAGGGTAAACTATGAAACTGTGGTTATATCCTATTCCTCAGCTAGAACTTTAAAAAGTAAATTTTACCATATTTCTACTGTGTCTAGTCCTGCACTTAGTGAAAAATAAAATATTTTTCTGAGTAATACTAAATTGGATTACAATTTTTGTTATCAGTCAGTGTCTAGTGAGGGGAGAAACTTCAACAGTTAATTGGACAGAGAGTTCAATAAGTGAATCATTAGGAGGTATAAATCATTGTTAATTAGACTACTGAAAAGGCAAAAAGAGAACACTAAAGTATCATGGTGACGGTAACTACTGGAAGCATCTGCCATTCCAAGGGCCAGAGGAACAATGGAAAAAGTTGAAATGAAAACACTGTAGCATAGAGGAAAGACCCTTGAAGGTAAAAGTCAGGACTCTGCATAGGGACTGATGCTCTGCGGTGCTGGTTTTGATGGGAGAGGTGATGAAGCTGGTTCTGCTAGTGTTGGTAAGATTGGTAATGTGGATTCACTTGCAGATATGGAAAGGATGCTCTACTCCAGGAGTGAAGAAGTGATGCTAAGGAGGAAGTATAATCCCACAAAGCAAATAGGAAGCAGAGAGGAAAACACAGGAAAGACAGAGACTCTCCTCAGTATCCCCTATTGTCAGAGTCTATATTGACCCAGCTAACAAAGCAGAAATGTAACTCACAAAATACCAGCCCCAGCACCACAATATTAAAGTGTAAGAGGGTGTGTTTGAAGTTGAGACAATAGCTTAATAACTGAAACAATCTATTACCAAGAAAAACAAAACAAAACAACCCCCCCCACACACACACACAAACCCTGATCTCTACAATATGGTATTGCATGCCTCAATTTAAAATTATGCTGCTCATGTTTAGATTTTGTTTTCTTTGAGTTCTGGACCCTATAGTGTTTTTGTAATACTAGGAACACAGAAAAGAAAAGCTACATCCATGCTCAGTAGGGACTACATTCCTTTGAAGCTCTCTTCAAAGGATTGACTTCCACTAAATATATTTCAAGGTGAATTTTACCCATTAAAGTTGTAAGTTTAATTAACAGATAACAGATTAAGTTACCTTTAAGAAACAGATTTTTATTTTTCCCAATTTCAGTTTTTTTTTTTTCTCTTGAGACAGGGCTAACAAAATTTTTAAGGGCACTCAAAGACATCTTCACCTCTAATTTATTATCCTTATTGAAAAATTAAGTTTTTAAATGAAATGTAGAATTGGGGAAGGTATTCAAGGGAATAAAGAAGAGAGGGAAATATCTTGATATATCTGTTTTTCTTTCCACAGATTTTCTAGTTCAGAGAATTTGAGGCTCTAAACATAAAAGAACAGCTTAGACTGGGCATGGTGGCTCATGCCTGTAATCCCAGCACTTTGGGAGGCCAGGGCAGGTAGATCACTTATCACTTGAGGTCAGGAGTTTGAGACTAACCTGGCCAGCATGGTGAAACCCTGTCTCTAATAAAAATACAAAAATTAGCCAGGTGAGGTGGCAGGTGCCTGTAATCCCAGTTACTTGGGAGGCTGAGGCAGAGTGCTTGAACCCAGGAGGCGGAGGTTGCAGTGAGCCAAGATCCCGCCATTGTACTCCAACCTGGGTGACAAGAGTGAAACTCCATCTCAAAAAAAAAAAACAAAAAACAAAAAACAGTTTAGATTCAGGAAGGCAAATACTACTGCTTAAAGTTATAATAATTCCAGTAATCTTACATCAGTGTTCAGATATGGGTTCTTGTGCTTATAGGTCCTAGCATTGACTGTATATGGCCACATCTTCGAAAATGGGCTAAATACCTGGTATCTGTCTTCCTTAAGTTCGGAAATCAAGCAAACCTTAACTTTACTAAGGTGTTTCTCTTTTTCTTTTAAAGAGAAGAAGAAGAAGAAATTGATGAAGAGGAATTGGAAAGATTGAAGGCAGAGTTAGACGAGAAAAGACAAACAATTGCTACTGTCAAATGCAAACCATGGAAGATGGAGAAGAAAATTGAAGTTCTCAAGTATGGTGCCACATTTTATAAGTAGAAACATTTTCCTTGATACTGATCTCCTAAATCCTCTGAATATTACCTATATACATGCACATTATATATATGTATTTTGTGTGCAATATTATCTATATCAAGTATATATGAAATATATATAATGCTCATAGTCATAAACATGTATCATATATCTGTATATATACACATATATGTGTATATTCTGATATATCTGTTTCTTTTCGCTAGAGAGACTGGGCTATTAATTATAAATTGGAAACAACCATGAGAAATTATTTAGAGGCTTTTAACTTCTGTGGTCATCTTCAATCATTTGTTCCTTAAACTGTAGTTTCCTTAGCTTAATACATTTGTTACCATCTCTTTGAAAGAGACAAAGTATTTGAATTTTACAAGTTTGTGTGGGTTGTACACTCTTGTTTCTCTTCAGGGCCCTGGGCTCAAATGATCTTTTCATGTAACAGCTGACATTAAAGCACAGAGAAGATGCTAGGCCAACAGAACAGTAAATAGGATTCCAATGCAAGGTTATGCTAATAGCTATTCCCTGAACATGTCAGTGACCCAATTTCAGTCTTATGTTGACTGCTAATGTGGATGCAAACACAGTCAGAGCACACAGATTTATAAACTCTCCATATGCAGAGTCAAATGATTATCCCATTCTGGGGGATGGGAAGACTCACCCCTGAAGATCACACTATATTTCCCTGACCTGGTAGTTGGGGGAGGAGGAAAGAGCAGGTAAAAGGGAAGCTTTTTGTTTGTGATAACAGCCATGTTTGCATTTCTAGTTTTGCCAATAATTGCATCCATCCGTAAGTCATTTTTATAAATAGTCGTGTTTTAAAATTATCCCCTCACAAGCCTATGTTTTAAAATTATCCCCTCACAAGCCTATTTAACTAGTAATACTGTAAAAATGATAGTATAGTATTATTGTCTCTGATGATGAAAACAAGAACTGAAATAGCTATCAGGATAATTTACTTCTAGTCTCGTTTCTGCAAGCACTTGTGTGCTATTTAAAAGCATTGCTTAATCTCCTGAAGCCTTAGTTACCTCATATCCAAAATAAAGAAAGATATTCTATATCTTCTCTGTGTGCTTGAAACTTAGCCATCATTTATATTATTTTTGTTTTGTTTTCTAGAGTAAGGTTTTCCAAGTTCTAAACGTTGGTTTTCCCAGAAAACTTTTACAACACCACAAAATTGTAGTCTGGGAACTCCCTTTGCATGTGCATGCACACATTGAGTTAGGATCTCAGATCTCCCGTTTAATAGCTGTACACATTTGATCAAGTTGTGTAGTCCCTCTACACAACTCAGGTTCCTTATCAAATTGTATCTTATTGACAGAGTTTTTGGAATTATAAAGTTAGATAATTTATGTAAAATATTTCATAAAGCAAAGGCAAGCAGCAGCCCACGTTCCACAGAGCTACAAGTTTTGTGTGTGTGCATGCACGTGTGTCCGTGTGTTAAAATAGTTTGCATTTAGTGAAGTGATAATGATGCTAAATTATAGGTTTTAAAAATATTCTTACCTGGCAAAATAGAAGTTTGGCAACCCTATAAGGCCCCTCAAACATATGTGAAATATTAATGGCCCATAAAATCCCCAAACCTGGGAACCACAGGTAACTATACATAGAAAGTTTAAAATTGGAAAGCAATATTGTGAACTTCCAAATATATATGATTAAATAAAAATTCCAAAATATATGATTGAATAAAAATTCTAAGTACTATCTTCCCTTACCAACTAGATGGCGGTGTAGAAACCCCCACCACCACCCCCCAGCCCCCGATCTTCTTTGCCTGTATCTCTCATGCAGGATAATGGAGTAGACAACAGCTTCAGATTTGAGTTAGGATCTCAGCTCTCCCATTTAATAGCTGTGCACATTGGATCGAGTCGTGTAGTCTCTCTACACAACTCAGGTTCCTCATGAAATTTTACCTTATTGACAGAGTTTTTGGAATTAAAAAGTGAGATAATTTAGGTAAAACATGGTACTAGAACATGGCACATAGCTGGGAAACATAAGAGGTTGTAGTTATTACTTCATCTCAGAAGAGGCTTGATGTCTGATTCCTGAAGGGTGACAGGAGAGATGGAGAGAATTTGGGACCTGGAAAGTCTAGGTGGGAGCAGACCTTGCCACAGTCAGACTCCAGAAGCCTTGTGGGATGATGATCCATTAGTAGTAGTTTGGATAAACAATAAGATTGTGAGGATGCAACAGAAGGAAGTAAGGCATTTGACAATTTAGCAGAATTCAGGACCAGACCATTCTTGGATCTTGTAAAACATAGTCATAGTCCTGTGGCAGATTTCAAGGTCTCAGGCCTTGATCTGGAATCCAAGATTTAGGCAAATTTTAACACTGGGGAGAGATAGGCATTAGCATTGGAAAGAAGGACAATACTAGGCTTTAGTACAAAAGCAGACACTGACAATGAGGAGACCGCACCTGAATCTGGAATATAGGTGTTTTTTATTTGGCCCACATGTTTTTTTTTTCTTTTTCTTTTTTATTTTTTTAATTGTAGCAAAATATACAATACAAAATTTATCATTTTAACCATCAAATGTATTTTTATAATTTTTTCAATATTTTAAAAAATTTAAATTCATTTATTTCCCTAGAGATATGGTCTTAACTCTGTTACCTAGGCTGGAGCGCAGGGGTGCAGTCTTAGCTCACTGCAGCCTCAAACTCCTGGGCTCAAGGGATTCTTCTGCCTCAGTCTACCAAGTACTTGGGACTATATATACATACTATCATGTTTGGCTAATTTTTTCTTTTTGTGTTGAGATGGGGTCTTACTATGTTGCCCAGGCTGATCTTGAACTCCTGGCCTCAAGCTGTCTTCCTACCTCAGCCTCCCAAAGTGCTGAGATTATATTTCACACAGCCTCAATCTTTTAAAAGAGGGAGTAAAAAATTCAGATGTTCAGCCTTTCATGAACAAGTAGAAGATTTGGTCCTACCTTCTTCCATTACAGTAACAGCTAGGACTAAGCACCAGTGGCTTTATTAATGGGGCATTCCCTTTTCAATTTGCACCATTCTCAAACAATCCATGTTACTTGTTTATGGTACTTGGCCGTACTTGTAAACATTCAGATTTGCTGCCTCCTTCCAGTACAGCTGGGGAACAAGCTAGGCTCGTTACCAAGACAGTGATTCAGATCTTCAAGGCCAAAGTCAGCTCACAGAATAGAAGCACAAATTTAGGCCCAGAGAAGAAACAACTGTGGCTTCTCACTTGTCAACAAGGCTCACAGTCTGGTGATGATTTTCCATGGCCAGAAGTGGTTTCTGTCTTGTGGCTGTACCTGTGGGTTCCAGCTGGTGCCATGTCTAATTCTCTTAGTTTCAGCCTCCGTATGAAGTTGTTGGTACTTAACTGCCTGACTTATCTCCCTTTAGAGGCTTTTGAATGTTCTGTTGAGCCTCTCCCCACCAGATTCCAACTACATGATTAGAACAAGTGGTCAGTACTTCATAGTACATGCAAGTAGGTAAACATTTCTCTACCCCAGTGCTACCAATGCATGGGAATGAGGCAGCTTTCCTTCTACCCTTTCTTTCTTTCAGAGATATCTAACTTTGAGAGCATGTTTCTAAGGATTATGTTATTAATATTCCCCCAATTAGCCTGCATCATTGCCCCTGGCTAAGTCTATGAAACCCAAGATACTAGGCTCAGTGTAACTGGAATAGATGTTTTGAACGCAGGTTTGGATCTGTGCCTGGGTTTGAAGGCTTCTTGTTCTGGGCTTGGAGAAAGTTGTGAAACTTCTAAAAGGTATTTTAGAAAGGGTCAGGGTTTTAAGATATATTTTAGAATAAGCCTCAGGAATAGCAACTTACAGTTTTGAGGGTGTTATGGGAGAGTCAGAGAGAGCTCCCACATTTTTAAAGAGCATCTACCATTAGTAATATGAGTACACTCAGGGCTTAGGGTCAAAAGATGGTTATTTAAGTGGTTGCTACATAGCCAGGAAGCTCTAGGAATTGGTTTTGAATCCATATTAACCCTCAAACGTGGCTCAGGAACTAGAGTTCAGCATTTTCAAGATAGTGGAATTGGCTCTATACAGCTGAAAGGAAGCCATCTCCTTTTCATCATCACTGTGGAAATTGTAATTTTCATTGTATGTTTTATTGTATATTAATGCATTTTATACACTCCTGTAGCTTAAATCTATTGAATGATAATCTCTTGGTGGAAAGGCAGGTGTGTCTGGCCCAGACCAGAAATGTGTATTTTTATTTTTTATCTAAAAATTACTGATATATAGTCAGAATGAGAGCTGCTGTTTTCAATTCTGAGACAGAAAGCTTCATTAAACAGAATATTCAGCTCTACAGATGATTTATTCAATGACGAAGAGTGTATGTGGAGGGCTTAGAGGGGGGAAAGAGAAATAGTGTTATATTTTCCAATTATTTGAAAGTCAGTTTCTGTTTTTTTATGAATCAATTTAAAAACATTAATGAGAATACAAAGTATAATCTGTTTTTAAGTTGCTCGTGGGTTTAACTCTGAGTTTGGGTGACTAGATCTTTCCTACCTATAAGAGATCGCAGCACTTACATGATAGCAGCTACCACAAGTGAAATAAAACACCCAGGTAGAAAGTAACAGGTCTACTTATTACTCATCTTGAAACCTAAGACTGTTAACTGTATCAGAACATTATATGTGGTAGATTAAAAGTGCTCATGACTAAACCTAAATAAACAACCACCTTATTTTGTTATAGTGGAATAGGTTTTAGATTGAAAATTGAGACTTGGGCTTTGAGCTAAATGCTTCCTGTGACTTCTCCTCTTTGAAACTCAGTTTATTCATTTATGAAACAGAGAAATTGGATTGTGGACCATGGTCTTCAAACTGCTATCCTCCAAAGTCAAGTAGTTTGGTGAAATCAAATCAGGGCAAAGGAGGCAGAGCTCACAGGGACAGCCACTGGGCCAC